CACACACACATATCGGACGTCACCGCAAATGAGCCTCGGGTTTGTATCAAAGGCAGTGGTGCACCAGTACATGACGGACAGAGGGACGTACCCGACCCCAGCCCCAATAGCGGGTGGAAAAGCCATTGAGCAAGCGAAAGTGGACGTTGGCTAGAAGCATGATACCCCCAATAAAGTTGTCATAGTGGTAGATTGGGTGCAGCCAAGGGGCGGCGACATGCTGGGGAAAGGGGGGGAAATCATAAGGCAGCTTGTCGTTGATGGGCAGCAAGTCGACGTCATGCATGGCAATGTAGTCCGACTCGTGTTCCACCTCCAGAAAGCCCGCGTTGATGAGCAGACCCCGGTTGAAGCGGTACTTGTCGACTTGATTAATGACGTAAATATGAAAGTCAATGTGCTAGAGACCAGAGTCGGGCATGTGAGCACACCCCAGGCCCGTCACGGGCACAGGATAGCGTGGTAGTAGCAAAACCGACCTGTTGTTGCAGGAAGACCTTCATGTGCGGGGCAAACTGTTTGAGTTCAGCCTCGGCCCCACGAAACGGGACCAAAATCTGCGTTGCGGTGATGGCAGCGAAGGACCGAGTGAGTTGACGAGAGAAACAAAAAAAAGAGAGAGAATTTAAAGGTCAAATATGTCGAGTGTGGGGTGGACCACGAACCGCGAGGCGCGGGTGGTCGGGTGCTTGGGCCGGGGGCTGAAGGCCCGTTTGGTCGTCGGCCTTTCCAGGGACAGGATGGCCGGGCACTGGAGCTTGTCCGCCGTGCGGTAGTCCGGGATTGAGATGATGCGGCGGTGCGTTGCCAACGTGGTGGTGGTCGTTGGCGCGGGCCAGGGGGCCAGCTGCCTGGGCAGCTTCGAGCTTGGTCTTGAGCTGGAGATTGTCTTGTGATAGTCGCAGGACCTCTTCCATAGCAGTTTGCTCCCGTTCCCCCAGGCGGTGATACTCGGCCTGCATTTGCTCGAGCTCGCGCAAGAGGCGCACGTTCTCGGCATCCAGCTCGGCGGCAGGATCGGGACACTACACGCCATGCCACCAGTACCCATGAAGTGAGAGGGTAAGATCAGCATGGTGATGCCAACGTCTTCAACAAACGGGACTCCAGACACGACCAGCCATCCCCGCCGGCTCACCTGCTTCTTGCGAACTTGAATGATGGTGGCGACCAGAAGCAGCGCAATGCTCAGCAGCACCAGCGACAACACCAAGCGCGGGCTGGCCCGCATGACGCACCGTGACCCCCCCCACCCCGCCAAACCGTGCCTCTTTCCCCCGTCAACCCCAAGTCCTCATCCTCCCCCCTGATTGATGCGCTGGTCTGCCCTCCCGATGCAGCCGAGCACGAAGAAGAGGGAGAGAGAAAAGTGTGATGAAAACCAGAGAGAGGAGGAAAATATGATCTAAAACCAGAGGAAGAGAGGAACAGGATCAAAACTTGACAGAGTTAAAAAGAGGGAAATGTGATGATATCAGAGAGAGTAGCAGGGCTATCATATTCGTCAGAGACAGCAAAGCTAGCAGGAAGAGAACGTAGAGAAAGAGAGAGAGAAAAT